GTTTCCCAAAATTCAAATGGCTGAAATAGATTCCTGAAACTTAAAAAAAAAAAAAATAAATAAAAAAATTTAGATTAGAAACTTTAATAAAAAAGTTATTTTTTTTAAAATATGTGTGATGTAAAGTTGTAGGACATTTATAATTGTAAAAATATGCAGAATTGTCTGATGGAATTAAGCGAGGAGGGGTATTTTGCAAAAAGAAGGCACTAGGATTTGCTTAGCTTTATAGCATTTCAAGGTTCAAGCTCTGCTTGATCACTTTTATAGCTCATAAGATTTGCCATCTTTGTATTGAGGACCATTATCTTTAGTAAAGTGCTTAAGTCTCTTACTGTACTGGGATAACAGAGATTGTAAGTGCTGCTGATATAGTAAGAAGTTACTGTATACAGAAGAAGATATGGCAGAGTTTTAGAACACATCTTTAAGAAATATGACAGCTGCACATATTAGCAAGTCACTGCTGCTTGGCTATCTACATCAGGCCCAATTTCAAGCCCTGTTTGAACTTCTAAAGGAAGATATAAAAACAATTAACCATATAATTAGTTCTAGAAGCTGAAGTCAGATATTTCCCAAACCTAAAACTAATTCTGGTTTCAATTTCTGAGAGAGAAATTGGGAAAACTAAATAATTTCAATTTTTTTCCCCCCAGCAAGCAAATTCATGTCTAAACCAAAAAGCAGTTAAAACAGCTAATTTAGGAGTAAGGTTTAGAGCTAACTTTTAAGAATGGGTGTGAGAAATGAAATATATATTTTTAAAAATACTTATAAGTTGGTGTCTAGGTTGAAATATATAAAATGAAGTGGATTTTGCTTCATATTGAAGACAAGCTATATAATATAGGAAAATACTTAAGGTATTTAATTTTCCTTAACATAACATGCATAAAAGCATACTACATTGAAAATTAATTTGAAATGCACACCTTTTTCTTGATTTCATGTCTTTAGGTGAACTGACATATTTTTTTTTTAAATTAATCCATACTTCACTGTAAAAAAAATATATGTATAGTATTGTGAGAATACAGTTCCCTGAAGAACATAAAAGCATTTCTCCACTTAACCTCCACCCCAGATGTAAACTCAATGTCATGGTCTGTGCTATAGTTTAAGCACAGGAGGCTGGTTTAATATTTAGACACACACTTTTAATTTACAATAACGTGAGATGCTTGTGTACAACCAAGGGAGAACAAAACACTTCACCCTCATTCATGAGCTCTACTTTTATATATAGGGGTGTGTGTGTGTGTGTGTGTGTGTGTGTGTGCGCGCGCTGTGCATCCATCCTATAGACAGACATCTTGTTTAAGGCCACATCAGAAGTTACAGAAAAGTAAATTATAGCCTGCATTTTCTCTTTTGCTGTTATAATCATATTGATCATATTCATTTTTCTCAGGGTGACCTTTACTTTGATTTAATGGATTGTCATTGTTGCAAACTTTTCTTTCTTACCAAGGAAAATAGTTGTAGTGAATCCTTAAGCAATGTATTGTCCAGAATATTTGCAAATGTTAAGAACAGTAGTTCCTTCTCCAGACTCTTGTATTTCATGTGTTGGAAGAAAGGCTTAGACTGCTTTTGTTTTGAGATATCTTCCACCCTCTCCCCCCCCATTTTATTGAGCAGTGGTGTTCTGGGATCAAGCTGAATTGTATAGCAATAGACGAGCAGTGAGTATTTGATGGAAGCAGATTATAAAATGCATCAATTGTGTCAGCTCCTTGCTGCAGTCACATCTGGCTTACTGTCAGGGTCCCATTAGATTCCTGTAGTTTTATGTGACAAAAATAATATGTTCTGTAGTTAATGGAACTAGGATATTTGCAGTTTGATTAAAAACAAAATTTTATTTTCTTTCAGATTTTTGTCAGGCTTAAGTTCTATCTGAGAACAGACTCCTCTCTTTAAAATTTTACAAGTGCGAGATCAATTGTTCTTTCTTTTCTTTATTACAGTGAATCCAGCAGCCTGAGCAGCAGTGATGCTGGTTTGTTTACCAATGATGAGGGAAGACAAGGTACTGAAACATCATTAATTTTTTTTGCCAAACTGCATTAGTTTAAATTCTGTAATCATTACGAGTTATTTCATTGGTTGGTGAAATTGCTGTAACAGACTGCTTAGTGAGTTGAGGTCTAGCTTTTTTTTCCAGCTTCTTAAATGTTATGGAAAGGTGTCCTGTCTCAATGACCTTAAGTACACCTCTACCCCGATATAACGCTGTCTCGGGAGCCAAAAAATCTTACCGCGTTATAGGTGAAACCGCATTATATCGAACTTGCTTTGATCTGCCGGAGCGCGCAGCCCCTCCGCCCCCACCCCCACCCCAGAGCGCTGCTTTACCGTGTTATATCAGGTCGCATTATATCAGGGTAGAGGTGTAATTAAATTTTTTGATTATCTCAAAAGGCTAGTATGTGAAGCTTATAATATTAGGGAAGATTGTGTTTTAAGACTGGTATTGAGTACATCTTGCATACCTCAATCTCTTCAGTATTCTATCTGACAAGTTCACAAGAGACTGGGAGCCCTTCCCACATTTATCCAGAATGTTTTAAAAAACAAGGGCTGGATATAGTGATAATAGTTCTCTGAACAAAGACTTAGTGTCTCTTATCAATCCAAAATAAGACTGAAAAGCCCAATATTATTTTTTCTCCCCACTGAGGATTTCCTACAAATCTTAAACTTTTCACTTTTCCTTTGGACAGTGTGATTTCAGTAAAACTCTACCTGTAATTTAAAGTGCAGCTAATGCCCCCAGGCTATCATGTTGGCATACACCAGAAAACAGATTACTGTATTTATGAATCAAAGGTACTGGTGGTGAAGTATATTAAACCATCTTTTCAATTCACATGTGTAACCATCTTCATTGTATTTTAAATTTAGTATAGCTTAATCCCCCTTTTTAGTTAATATTTTTTTGTAAATGATTATTGGATTTATTGAAAGTGCAGATTATTTTCTTAAACAATAAAAGGGGGCATCAGGTTGCAGAATAACAAAATATTACAGATTTAGACAATATTAGTTTGGTTATACAAAGGCTATACATATACTGTTTCTCAAAAGTTCTCAGTAATTTGTTTTTAATCACTTTGTGCCAGTTGCTCCATCCTTCCACACTAATGTTACTAATAGTGGGATTTCTTCAAAGCATAGGGCCAAGTCCTGCTTGCCTTGTTCATACAAGTAAGACAAGCAATATTTGGGCCTTAATTATATTTTTTTACTTCAGTTGACCCAGGACTCTTCTTTGAGGAATTTAGGGTATCCTTGAAATACCAGTTGATCAGTTTTTCTGACTTCAGAGCAGAATTTTTTTCTTTTTTCTCAATTAGACATTTCCAGAAGATAGAATATGGTTCCCTGTACCCTGGCATTCCTGTCAGCATTTTGTGTTTTTTTTTTTCTCTTCTGTTTTGTAAGGCTTAGTGTGCAAGATAATCTAACAATGATTTTTCATTGTTTTCTTCTTGTGGGGGATATGAACTTTTCACAGTGGTTTGTTTTAGATCCTTCAAATCCTCTGCAGAAATTGCCTGTTTAATTTCCTTTTATCAGCTATTTGTCTGTAAAGTTATAATTCATTCCTATTTGTTTCTTGACCAGAGAGATCTGTTTATCTTGTAATTTCCTTGTATATTGAGCTACCAGGAGGCTAGTGTTAATTGTAGTATTAACCTTGCATCTGAAGTGGATTTTTTACCCATGAAAGCTTATGCCCAAATAAATCTGTTAGTCTTTAAGGTGCCACCGGACTCCTTGTTGTTTTTGCGGATACAGACTAACACGGCTACCCCCTGATACTTGTAGTATTATTGTTTTGTAAATGTCTTAACTGTAAGATTAAAACAATTGGCTTTCTAACCTGGCTTTCTAATTTTGGTGTAATTGTGTTTATTTGTTTTTTAAAACACCTGTATTTCCCTGTATAAAATAATCTGGGACATAAATGGCGTTTACTTCTGAACTGAAATATCCCTCCAAGTATTATTTGTTCTTCATATATTCCAATGTTGAAAACATCGGAAAGCAAGGATCAGTTCATATAATTATTTTCTTGGGGGCATTATTGGTCAATAAGTAGTAATTTTTTTCAGTGGTGTCACATTCCTTATTTCAGTCCATAGCCATTCAGTTTTATCATTTCTGATCCTTTCCAACAATAACTTTAATTGAGTTGCAGAGGATTATAACTATAAATTTTGCAGGCTTGACCTCTATTTCAAGAATTGTGTTTTTTCTTTGTTCCCATTTCATGTTGCAACTCGATATTTATCAGTTATTTGTGTCTATTTTGTGAGGATTTCTAGTGGAAAGTATTGGTTCCAAAATAGCATTCTTAGAAGATAGTGAGATTAATTGTTGCTCTGTGTAGGAAAGATAATGTCACAACAGATGATCACCATTTTTAATCTCTTAATTTTTGGACTAGTTACTTCAAGGCCTTATCCAAAACTTATTGAAGTCAATAGGGGTCTTCTCAATTACTTCACTGGGCTTTGAATCAGGGTAACTGACTTTTAGATCTAGAGAATGATCTTGTTTCCATTAAAACTCTTAATTGGAAGCAGTATCAGGCCCCTGTTGGTACATGCCTTTTAGTTTCAGTTGAATTTGCTTTATTATCAATATTTTCTAACACTTAATATCATAGCTACTGTTTCTTCTGTCACTTACTTTCTTGTAAAAAATCAGTCCCAAATTGATTTCTTAAGTTTCCAAATTAGACAATAAAATGTCACTTGCATAAAGTGGAACTATGAAAAAATATTCCCTTATTTGTATTACCATAATACACGGGAGTCCTAATCACGAACCAGGACCTCATTCTGCTAGGTGCTGTGCAAACAGATGCTACTTGCCCCAAAGAGCTTACAGTAGGGTTGCCAGGTGTCCGGTTTTCCACTAGAACATCCGGTAGAAAAGGGACCCTGACAACTCCAGTAAGCACCGCTGACCGGGGCGTTAAAAGTCCGGTCAGCAGTGCAGTGGGGTTCAGGCAGGCTCCTTGCCTGCCCTGACTCCATGTAGCTCCCGGAAGTGGCCGGCATGTCCCTGCGGCTCCTAGGCGCAGGTGCGATCGGGGAAGCTCCGTGTGCTGCCCCCGCCCCAAGCGCCAGCTCCTCAGCTCCCTTTAGCCGGGAACCGTGGCCAATGAGAGCTGTGGGGGCGGTACCTCCTGGTGTGGGCAGCACGCACCACGCAGAGCCGCCTGGCTGCCCTGCGCCTAGGAGTCGGACGTGTCAGCTGCTTCCAGGAGCCACGCAGAGCCAGGGAGTCTGCCTTAGCCCTGCTGCGCTGCTGACCGGGCGCCGCCTCCGGTAAGCACACCCTAACTCCTTCCCAGAGCCCGCACCCCAGCCCCCTCCCAGAGCCTGCACCCGCTCCCGCACTCCAACACCCTACCCGAGCCCTGAGTCCCTTCCCACACCCAAACTTCCTTCCAGAGTCCGCACCAACTCCTGCACCCCAAACCCCTCATCCCCAGCCCCACCCCAGAGCCCACACCCCCAACAGGAGCCCGAACTCCCTCACCCCTACCCCCTGCCCCAGATCTGAGCCCCCTCCCACACTCCAACCCCCTGCCCCAGCCCAGTGAAAGTGAGTGAGGGTGGGGGCGAGCGAGTGCCGGAGGGATGGAGAGAGGGAGTGGGGGAGTGATTGGGGGCAGGGCCTTGGGGTGGGGCAGGGGTGTTGGGTTTAGCACAATTGGAAAGTTGGCAACCTTAGCTTACAGTGTAAGTATAAAACAAGATACAACAGATGGGTACAGACTGATGGGAGAGTACAAGTAAGCAATGAGACAATATTGGTCAGCATAATAGACAGTGGTGTGAGCACACCAGGACCCTAACTGTTGTCAAGATTTTTATAGGCATCACGGAAAAGGATTGTTTCTTATGGAGGGATTTGAAAGAGGATAATGGAGTAGTTTTGCATATGTTCACAGGCATCTCTTCCCAAGTGTGATGGGCAGCATGAGAGAATGTACAAAACTGCTTGTTTGAAAACTTAAGAAGTGGGCTATGGAGGCATCATGGGTTGATCAAAAGTGGGAGATGACATTTGGATAGTGAATGAGATGTTAGGTAGGGTAGGAATTTCCATCCAGTAGGATATGGCTGCCAGTGATTCTACTGAAATGGAAAAGCGTGCAAGCTGTGATATGGCCCTCTTTATAATGTAAAGGATTCATAGTTGCAACCATTAACCCAAACTTGAGCTTTGAGGTTGTTCTGCAGATGTTAATTCATAGCATAATTACTATTAGAACATCTACTTTTGAAAAGACTGAAATACAGACTAATTTTACTCTCAAAGGTGTAACAGGCCTGTGATTAAAAGTTCTTGTTTTGGCGACATTCAATAGTCTTCTAATATTGCCCAAACACGTTCTTTTTAAGATGACACTGATCTGATCAGCACTGATTATACTTGCACATAAACTCCTTAACATCTCCCCCCACCCCAAAAAACCCAGAACTCTACATTAAAAGAACATAAAGCTGCAAAATCATATACTAAGAAGATAGGAAATGCCAGAATTAAGGTTGCCTGTGCAACCTAAATTCAGTCCACTTGTGTGTATACATTATGAAATGCAGTCTGTCTATCAAAAGATCATCCACAATATCATCTTATCTTGCTCTCAGAGGGCTGGATCATTTCATGTGACACTGCCTCTGAAACAGCCTTCTTTTATGGAGGCTTCTGCTTCTCTCTCACTCCTTGCCCTGGATCAGGTGTGGGTGTTAGGCTTCTCCTTTCCTGTTCCTGCTGCTTCCAACCTCTCCTTCCTCCCCCTTCTTTCTCAGTCTTTGAATAGCTTTGCATCTGACTCTTCTCTCCCCCTCTATCTTGCTGTCATCTGCTGTCCACCTTACTCCTCCCTATCAGCCTTCTGCTCAGATTTCCCTCCTGGCTCTCTTCCTCTACTCACAATCTCCTACGCTCATCTTAAGTTACTTTAGCTTCCATGTTGATCACCCATCCAATCCCGTAGCTTCA